ATCAGCGGGGCCGGCGCGGGGCGGGCAGGCGCATGGCCGCGGGGCGGGGGAAGGGAAAGGGCAACGCCGACGGCGGCCGTTCGCTCGCTCGCGCTCGGGGCAAGGTCAAAGGTCACGGAGGGTCTCGCGAGCCGCGCGGCGCCACCACTGATTGGTCCGGAGGAGGCCGCTGGTGGCGTCCCCGTGACGTCAGAGCGGACGTGGCGCAGGACGTGCGCGGGAGGGACCAGGGCAGCGGTTAAGGGAGGAGGCGCGCGGGCTGCGGGGACTACCTATCCCAGCATGCAACGGGTCGGGCCAAGGCATGCTGGGCTTCGGTGACTCTCGCCGCGCGTTGAACACGGGGAGGCGGAGAGCTCGTTCTGCGCGCTGCATGCCGGGACTCGTAGGCCCCGCCCGGAGGTGCTCGCGCTTGTCCCTGGCATGAAAGCTTGTCGCCTCAGCGGGATGACGCGAGGGGGTGGGGACGCGGCGCGTCCGCCCTCTCCTTTTCCCTTTCCCTTGCCCGCCTCTGTGCGCGGGAAACTGCGGGCGGCCGAGCTCGCTCCTCCCAGCTCGGCGGGAGAGGCCCTGCAGTGCCCGCCCGGGCCGAGGTGGGCGTAAGCCTGAATATTTTCCCGCTTTGAGGCTTCCTGGACAGGGCGGGCGCAGCCCCTACCTCCGGGATTCTGCCGGCGGGGGGGCAGCGTCGGAGCCTTGCTAGGATTGGCTCGCAGGACAAAGCCAGAGATTCCCAGTAGGGCCCCACAATGTTCAAAACCGTTCTGGTTTCTTGTGCTCTTTCTGATGGCTTTGCCTCAGAAAACTCACTCTTGTATTTTTCTGTAGGGGGAAAAAAACGAGTGAAAAGAGTAGGGACCCTGCAAGTCTCCCCACAGGTGCCTGAAGTCTGAAAAGGTGAAGCACTACACCAGAGTAGTACTCCAAGCCCGAGATCGGGACCGTTTTGGCAATTCAGCGTAGCACCCGCATGCCAGAAAACCAACCCCTGCCTGAAGTCTCTGAACTTGTTCTCCCCTCGGGCCAATAAGCTCATCAAAGCACCTTCCATCAGTGGAGCAGGAAATAAGCTGCACAAGAACTGCAGCTAAAGAACTTCACCCCTAACACCAGCTTCTGCCCCTCAGGATGGCAGCTCTCCTGCGGGGTCTGGATGGCTCTTAACCATCTCAAAATGGGCGTTGGACAGTTTAAGGTCACCGTGCACTCTTGGGGGCCTTTGTAACAAATGTTAGCTGCAGCTGTGGTGCTCAAACTCAGACGGTGGACCACATCATCTATAAATGCCCATATGGCCCTCATTTGGGCACCCAAGGTCTTATTGATACTGACCATTCTACCTGTTGGTGGCTTTCTGGCTCTCGTGCTTCTGACGCGAGTTTGGCAACACTTGCTCCATCATCATCATCAGAAGTTACCATGAAAAGAGTGGGCCTGGCCTCTCCCTGCTGCCCGAATACCTGCTGGGTCAGAAGTAATCTGTGCAGATAGGAAAGAGGAGTCTTGTTATCTGTCACCTGTAACTTTTGAAACCCATTTTTGACCTGTGTTCTGTGGCAACGTTTGCCCTAAACAACTGTATCATTCCTAAAGGAAGCAGTTGGGGGGCAGTTGTAATACATGCTTCTGCGTGTTCAAACCAATTAATATTATGCCCTGCTTACGATAGCACTGTTTTAGGCCATTCAGTTGCAATGACTTGTGAGAATCCCAGAAGCACTTTGATTCTCAGAGGTTTCCAGATGTCATAGGGAGACTCTTGGATTATAATGAAAAATTATTTGAACCTAATGTGCTATTTTGGTAATGACTTGCATCTACATTGGCACTTAAATATTCCAGATAGACACAAGGATTAGAGCATTAGTAGTAGAAATTATTCATACAGTATAAATGATCACAGCTAAAGAGCTACTGAAGTTAATTCTAATCCAAATATTATTTGGCACACACATGCCACTAGAAGTATGGTTGTGTGCATTGTGTTTCACTATATAAGCAGGCTGGGGGGAGCCAAGCACTTCTGGTAAATGCAAAAATCTCTAAAGTCTGTAAGGCATTCATCCACCTTCACCACTGTTGCAGAACAACACATTGCAGATGTCCGCAGATCCATTCAAGATATTAATTCACATTTTGAAATCATCATTTCCAGTCAGATCTAGTATTACATGCATTACACCTTGAGAGTTTTCAGCACATTTTACAGATAAAATAATCAGATTCAGAAAGAACTTTAAGCTTTCATGGAGAAAGAGCTCATAGACATCCTTGGATTCCACATCAAGATTCTGGAGGTAGCGGGAGAGAGAGGAACCGTCAGCTCTGAGTCTCATAATTTTCAGTGCCTGATTGGATTTCAGCTGGAACTAGCTGTTTCTTTCTGCTCCCACTGGGATTTCAGGGTCATTGTATGTGCTTCTTTCTCCAAAACATTCTTCCAGGGAAGAAGAGAAACAGGATTCCTGGAAACAGGCTTCCCCACCTCATTCAGTGGGATTCTTTGGTGGGCAGTCATTGGTACTCCTAAGAGGATACTTTTTTCCCCCTCTAGGTGCTGATATACGTGTAGGCCCCTGTAACGGGGCCTGCTCGGGCCGATCTCTGTGGCCCGCCCACCTGTTCTTGGGTCAACCACCCGCCTTCTTTCCTGCCACACCTTGATGTTAATTGATTAATTAATAGATGTCAACTGCCCATTTTCCTGCCCCGATGCCAGGGGGTGCTCTCTGCGACTCCTTTTCTCCCCTACACAGCAGCCCAAGCCTCGCAGATGGCATCTAGATGTTCTCATCTATCACCGGCCCCAGAATCCACCTATCAGGACCTCTCCAAGATCCCTCCATTCAGGCAGCCTACCCCACCTTATTCCAGCCCTGGACCACCTCCAGGCCAGTCAGGACCCCAGGCCCCTAGCTCTTGGGCATCCCTTGCAGTGGGCCCCTGGCCCTTTTCACCGTCCTGGTCCTGGCCCCAGCATGGGGGTGATGGGCCAGTCGAG